TTGACAGAACTCACCAACCAGCCGACGAAGCTGAGAATTTCGATGTACACGACAGCGCACGTGGAAACATGGCCGCCTCCATCCAGTTCACCCGAGCGTGACCGAACCTCGTCAGTGAGTATGGAAGGATAATTTCGGACATAAACACAAATTACTAAGTAGAACATAGCAATATTGAACATTTAAAGCCACCATGAGAACTGGATTTTCACACAGCTAATTTAGCAGAAAATTGGAACATATGGAAACAAAGTATGGACTTATATTTGAAGTTAGGCATGCCAAAGGCAAATGAAGAGTAAAAATGCAATGCGTTCTTGTATATCATAGGACAAGACGGTAGAGACATTTATAATACATTCACATTTGAACAGTCGGAAGTTAACAAGATTAATCCTTTAGTAACCAAGTTTCATGAATATTGCACTCCAAAACACAACGTGACCATTGAAAGACATAAATTCAACACAAGATCTCAAAGGAAGGAGGAAACTATTGATGAATATGTTACGAACTCAGAAAAATTGCTAAAGGTTGCAAGTTTGGATCACTTCAAAATAGGATAGTCTGTGGTACACATTCAGAACGTGTGAAGGAAAGGTTGTTCAGAGTTGATGATCTTACTCTAGAACAAGCAATATCTATTTGTAAGGCAGAGGAGGAATCCTTGAAACAGATGAAACAGTTTGAACATGAAAACAGTGTCTCTTTTGTGAAGAAAAAATATTCAAAGAATAATGAAGCAAGACCAAAGACTTACGATAAAAGTAACTCTCAGAAGTCAGGAAAACAGAAAATGACATTTAAATGTAGAAATTGTGAAAATATTCATGGTAAACGTGAATGCCCAGCTTATGGAAAAATTGTGCCACGTGTAGAAAACTCCACCATTTTCAACAATGTTGTAGAAGTAGACTAGTTCACGAACTGGAAGAAATTTCAGTATAATCACCAGAATTATCTGAAAGCTTTCTTGGTTCAGTAGAAGTTGAAACCAATGAAGATGTTTTGTTTATATCAACTGTAACTGAAACAGAGGTGGATGAAAATGACATTTTCATAAACTTGCCAGTTGAAGGTACAAAGTTGAAGTTTAAAGTTGACACAGGCTCGCAAGCGAACATCATTCCAGTAAGCAGATTCAGGCAAATCAAAAATTACCAACAAATTCCCCTGCGAAAATCATCTGTTAAACTCAAGAGTTACAGTGGTGACATAATACCACAGTTTGGGAAGTGCAAGCTTTCATGTGGAGACAATGAATTGGAGTTTCACATTGTGGACACTGAACAAATTCCTTTATTGAGCTGTACAACTTCACTAGAACTTAACATAATTAAGGTGATGTCTGTCATGACAGAAGAAATTGTAGATGAATTTTCTGAAATCTTCTCAGGACTTGGGTGTCTCGATGAACCTTACCAAATAGAGATAGATCCAACATTTCCACCTGTAATACATCCTCCACGTTAAGTGCCTACTGCACTCAGAGATAAACTCAAGGACTCATTGAACTGCATAGTTAAGCAAGGTGTCATTAGAAAGGTCGACCAACCAACAGACTGGGTCAATTCCTTGGGGATAGTAGAAAAGCCAGGCTCTGATAAACTTCGCATCTGCATGCAGCATTTAAACGGGAACACTTTCAAATTCCTACAATAGAAGAAATAACCACCAAACTCTCAGGGGCTCAACTGTATTGAAAGATTGATGCAAATGCAGGATAATGGTAGGTATTGTTAGATGAGTCATCACAACTGCTCACTACATTTAACTCTCCTTTTGGAAGATACTGCTTCAATAGGATGCCGTTTGGGATCAAGTCTGCACAGGAGGTGTTCCAGAAGAGAATATATCAGAGGTTTGAAGATCTTCCAGGCGTGGAGAACGACATCGATGACATGCTGATATGGGGTAGAAGTACAGAAGAACATGATGAACGACTAAGAGCAGTACAGAGATGCAAGGAGATCAACTTGACACTCAACAAAGAAAAATGAAAGTTTGCTGTTGAAGAAGTTACCATAGGTCACAAACTTACAACTCATGGTGTTAAACCAGATCCAAGCAAAATTGAAGACGTCAAGAAAATTCCACCACCTGAAGACAAGAAAGGAGTGGAAAGACTGTTAGGGTTCATAAACTATTTGGCGAAGTTCATCCCAAATCTCTCGGAACTATCTCAACCAATGAGACAACTTCTCAGAAGGGATGTAGAGTTCATCTGGTCACATGAACAACAAAATGCCTTTGAAAATATTGTTGAATATCTTACTGCAGATCCAGGTCCAGTACTCAGGTTCTACGATGTCACAAAACCAGTTACTGTTACTTGTGATGCATCAAAGTCCGGGCTCTGAGCAGTGTTACTGCAAGATGATCAACCAATAGCGTATGCTTCAAGGTCCATGACGCAAGCCGAACAGAGATATGCTCAAATTGAGAAGGAACTCTTGGCTGTAGTGTTCAGTCTAGAAAGATTTCATCAGTATACTTATGGTAGAGATGTAAGTGTAGAATCAGATCACAAACCACTTGAATCCATTCTCAAGAAACCACTCTCATCTGCACCGCCTAGATTACAACGGATGTTGCTGAGGCTGCAAAAGTATACATACTCATTAATCTACAAACCAGGCAAAGAAATGGTATTGGCTGACACGTTATCCAGAGCATATGTTCCTGTTGATCCATCATCTTGAACGGATGGCCTGACAACAAATCATCGGTACCCAGTCAAGTGCATGAATACTGGAAATACAGAGATGAACTGTCAGAGATAGACAACCTGATTTTCAGAGGTGAAAGAATAGTCATCCCAAAAGCAATGAGGCACGAAATGCTGCAGAAAATACACATTGGACACATGGGCATTGAGAAGTCTAAACAACGTGTGAGAGATATTATCTTTTGACCAGGTATGAACACACAGATAACAGATATGATGTCCAGATGTACTACTTGTTTGGAACTCAGAAATTCTCAACAAAAAGAACCTATGATTCCAACAACTATTCCTACTAGGCCATGGGAGAAGATGTGTACAGATTTATTCATGTGGAATGGGTCAGACTACTTGTTGGTGACAGATTATTACTCCAGATACATCGAAATTGCACGATTGGAGAACACTCTCAGCAAGACAGTCATAACTCACATTAAGTCAATCTTCTCAAGACATGGAATACCAGTAGAAGTACGCAGTGACAATGGATCGCAATTTACATCAAGGGAATTTCAAGTATTCGCTAGAGAATGGGGATTTCAGCATGCAACAACTAGTCCGTATCATTCACAGTCCAATGGACTAGCCGAGAAATCTGTCCAGATTGTGAAGAGAATGCTGGAGAAAGCGAAGGTGGACAAGAAGGATCCTTACCTCAGTTTATTGGAATTAAGAAATACACCTATTGATGACATTGGTTCACCTGCTCAAATTCTCATGAGTAGAACACTCAGATCAACACTGCCTACAAGTACATCTCAACTTAAACCTCACATCATTAATCCAGAACAAATCCAAAATAAGCTCAGTAAGAAACAGAAAACTCAGAAGAAATATTTTGATAAGAACTCTTCAGAATTGTCAAAATTGGAAGATGGAGATGTAGTGAGAGTACAACAGAATAGCAGATGGAATCCAGCAGTAGTTGTTAAACAAGAAGATACTCCTCGATCTTATCAGATACAGACATTTGATGGGAAAATCTACAGGAGAAATCGACGTCACCTCATGAAGACTTCAGGTGATAATATTGCAGATTGTCAGAGACACATATCCGAAGCAGACAACACGGAAGCAGTTGCCACTGATCAGAGCACTAATGACCATGTTAGTGGTGATCAGGCAGTTGTCTCATGTCAGCCATCTCCCATCCGATCGTCCAGTGGCAGGGTTGTTCGAAGACCATGCAGATTCAATGACTATGTGGGAACTGATGAACTGTGATGTTTCGTGTATATAGTGTGTATACATGTGTGTTTCATAATCATTTTCTATGGACATGCTATTCTATGGACTATTAAAGTGTAAAGTATACCTATATTCAATAAGTAGGGTTAGGAATAATAAGTAATTAATAATCAGCTTTTGTGATCACTGTGGAGAGACTTTAACTATGATCACAAATTTAAGTATAAGTTTACCTATATCAAGTAACTGCTAAGCAGTTATCTCGAAGGGAGTTGCAATGATTGTATCATTAGTTGTCGGTTAGCCCTATTGCCAAGTGACATGCGCACTGGCCTATCGATGTACGAGTCAGTTCTGTCAGTAAAGTCGTGTTGGCTGGTCGTGCCCTTTGGTTGTCTCTCGCTGGTAATAAGCAACGACATAGAGAACATAACAACCACTAGGGATAGCTATGACTTAGTTAAAATTTCATTTCCATTTCCATATGTCTCAGTGGTTCCCACAGGAAAAAAAGCAACCATAATGCAGAGGGAACGTTTACAACATAATTAAGGTGTGTTACAAATGTGTGATCTTGTAAATGAACTTGGAGAGCTTATAGACCATGAAGAAAAGTTCATTGATATGTATGATCTGATGACTTCCTTTCTGGAGTATTATGAATTATTAAATCAAGCAAAAAATACTTGAAACTTTTGAACTTCGATAAAAAAAAACGAGGAATGGATGGATCTGCACTGAAACAATTATTATGCTCTATCAAATAATTTTATCATTATATCCTAACTCTTCTGAAGTCAAGGTAGATGCTCCAGCTCTGACATGAAGATGTTGATGGAGGATCAATGCCAACTGCATTCTTATCTCTGAGTACAGCTGCTCTAATGCAGAAGGAAATAGCCATCTGGAAGCTTTCATGGTAGTGTTCCTTGGTAGAGTTACAAAAAGAATGATGAATAGAGGTGTTTTTAAGAATGATGACTAGAGGTGTTTTTGAGACTTCTGAACTTCTTAAAACTGCATTCAGTGGAAATGATAGAATAGAATAGATAGAATAGAAGCATAATATCTGTTCATGTATACATACCTTTTCTTGTTCCAATGCAAAAACGTAGTGATTGAAGAATCTGTGGAGCTTCTCATTGGTGTAGTTTATGCATAGTTGTTCAAAACTATTTGTCTATAAAACAAATTGAAAACTGATACAATTAAAGATTCCCATAAAGGAATTGGGTTTGAAAATAGACATATACTTCTCATTTGAAAAAGTTACATCACAAAACAAGAATGCTTAGAGAGAATAACCACAAGGTACGACTGATTACGGGAAATATGCCCGAGTTGAAAAAATGTTCACAGTGCCTCGCCAAGACTCGGCACTGAACATTATTTTAACAATGGCATATTTCCTGTAATCACTCATACTGAGTTGGTTATTCTATTTATTACCCATAATGTAATTTAAAAAGAAGAACCACGAAATACAACCCACCCGGAGAGAGAACTTGTGACCTTAAACAGCTGATTCGTATTCATGAGCGTATTAAACCTAATTTCTCCAGTGGTAATAACATAACTACGCTATGGAAAATAATACCTCATAAAATCGCTTTAAAATACAACACATATTTGTTATATATGGAATAACGTATTAACACTTGTTAATATGATAAAAATGATCTTTTAAATGCAATATCATTGAACTTAATAACAGCTAAAACGTTATTTGATTAAGTCAGTGAGCCGGAACATCGTTCATTCACAACTGACGTGTGTCTAGCGATGGGTGACAGTGTAGTGTTGAAACACACTTTGGAAAAAAAACCTGTCAATTGTTGGGAAAGTCAACGGTTAAAAGTTGGGAAATCTAAAAGACAACCATCCCAAGAATACATCTAGAAAACGTTTTCTGGCAAGAAACTCAAGTTTGAAGATTAAACAACATATTGTTTTGTGGAAGACGTGTTACAGTCACGTCATTGGTCCCAGTAGAGTACAGCAGTAACACTTTCAGGTAACACTTTAGTCGGTATCTTGCTGCTTTTATTTCCCTGAATTCAGTTTTAACAACAAACAGGTTGTTGGAATTCAAGGGCTGTAAAATTCTTATCACTCTTCCTATTAGGTCACCATCAACTTTAACTAGCTTCTTGACCTTGATCGGGGTAGCCTAATGGCGGCCATGTTTGTTTACAAACGATTGTTGCTGTTTTTTTAAGGTTATTTATTTTAAAAAGACAACTATTTATAATGCAATTTTATTGCAAAATAATAACGTCTAATACAAAGAGTATTCATATTCTTTAACTTTTATGTTTTCTTTTTTAAATCTCTGAATGTGTGAGAACAACACATTCTACTCATCAATCAAATGGTAAAAGTTGTCAATGAACTTGGATCATGAAAAGTAGTTCCGTCAACTAATCATATTTCATCTCTGCTTAGCTGACCAATCAACGTTGAGAATCACTGAAAAGCACATGTGCGATTATCACAAAAATAATCACCTGTGTATCCTAGCCTGTATGGGTAATAATAATCAGTTCACACCTTCTTCCTCTAAATTACCAAATGAAGGGAACTGGTTAATCAAATGAAATCATGTGCAAGAAAAATGTTCCCAGGCACATGTCACAATGCCTTCATGGTACATGTACCTGCAACACCAGAGAATACAAATGCTGGGACAAATAAAATGCTTTTTGCTGACCCAAAGCTAATGACCCTAAATCAAGAACCTGATCTATTTGGAAGGGAGTTTCAGGTTTGTTAATTAGAAATAATTAGATCGTTTTGCAAGAGTTATGCCCAGCTGAAAGCTTCACACTTGGTCCTATTTTGGTTTCGTGTATTGTCGGGTGTTTTCCACTAACATTAACTGGAATTGAAATTTCAAACATTTTGGTAACAATGACAACACAGGTAATGTCTGGCACTAAACACGAGCCATCAGAAGATGACAAATCCCCCCCCCAGCCCCCACAAATTTGAAAGAACAAATCATCTGACAGTTACTTAATAGTCCAACTTGATTTTTTTAGACTAAGTCCGAAACGTTTCCATGGAAACCAAGACAAATACAAATGGCAAAAATCTGCAAATAGCAAAAGGCACCACTTTAGTATCTGTTTAATATATCTACCAATTTTGTTGAAAGTATTGAATGGTTTTGAGTTATGCTCTGGAAACAAAATGATTCTGGACAGGCAAGTCAATATATAACAAGAAAAATTGTGTCCAGGGACACGGATGCCCCTGACATTCATAAGACATATAAAGATCAATAATTGAACAAAATTCACGAACAAGTTCAATAAACATCTATGCAACTATGACATGCACACCTTTAGAGTCTCAATGAAACACATGGATAAGCTTAATCAATTCTGTTGAGCAGTTTTGTGGAGAAGTGGATAGACTTAATCCCTATTTCACTATCATCAGAGAGAAATTCAGGAAAATTTATCTAAGTTCAAAATTCTCTAAACATACAAAAATTATATAAAATACGAAAACAAAATATGAGATGCACACCTTTAGAGTCTCTATAAAAGACATATGTAAGCTAAATGAGTTTTGTGCAGTGGTTTTGAGGAGAAGTGGATAAAGTACACCCCCTGTTGAATGGAACGAACAGACTGAATAGAACAAAATTCAAGTTCAAACATCTGTAGAAGTGACAAAATTAAGAAATTGCATACAAAATTATGAAATGCACACCTTTAGAGTCCCTAAAAAAGACATGTAGAAGTTCATTCAATTCTGTTGAGCAGTTTTTGTGGAGAAGTGGATAGACTTCATCCCCTATTACACTATCATCATAGAGGAATTCAGCAAAATGTACCTAAGTTCAAATGTCTCTAAACCTACAAAAAAAACAATAAAATAAAAAAACAAAATATGAGATGCACACCATTAGAGTCCCAAGAAAGCCAATGTATAAGTTAATTGGATTCCACAGAGCGGTTATGGTGGAGAAGCGGATAGAATACATTCACTACAAAAATGACTTGGTTTCCTGAAACCTGGAAACCATCCGTATACTGGGTAATTTGGGAATCCAGTCGGTTTCCATTTACTGAAACTGAGTAACTGAGTTTCCAACTCGATTCCATTTTGAATTCTTTGATTTTTGCATTTCTGTAAATGGAAACCAACAAGAAACTAAGGTTAGAGGTTTCTTGTTGGTTTCCATTCCTAGAATTTGCAATTTCATTAAATGGAAACCAACATAAAACCAGAATATGTAGTTTCATGTTGGTTTCCTGTGCACTGTTTTGAACTGAGTAACTTAAAATTTGCAAGTATTTGGCATGAAGTTGACCATCCTGGCATTTCATATGATGGGAAATTTTGAAAATCTAAATAGATGGATGATATTCTACGATGAGTAACAAGTTTCACTGTAGTAATGAAAAATCTTAAACGTCAAAAAGTGAAATTTGAGGGGAAAATTGGTTTAATTATGTTTGCTTTAGAATGTGAAAGAGTATAAGCATTTAGGAAGTTTGGTATAATGTAATTCAAACAATTGTCAATCCGGTACATACATTACGGATTTCTCAATAACTAGAATATCTGGGAATTGTACTATGAATAGAGGTTGTGAGTAATGTTTACCATTAAAAGCATTTAAAGTTAGTATGCTTTGACAGTGAGTTCAAGTACTTGACAAACAATCAGTGTCATGTCATTTGTATGTCGGGGTCTGTGTGTCGGCTTCCTTGGGGTTGTCTCGTCTTAACGAGCACCTATTATCAAAATTAAATTGCTGTAGAAGTAATGATTCGGTAATCCGTGGGCACGTGGGCACGCGCGAACTCGTGACATGTTATAAAAGCAATGGTTTTATGTACTGAAGTGGTCATTTTCGTCTTTTATGTCTTGAAATCACAACCAAATTGGGTCAGATAATGTTTTTCATACCTGCCAATCGAAAGGGATTAGGTATTTGTTATTACCCACAATGCCCCTACACACAATTGCCGCCATTTTGTCACTTGCTCTCATGAGAAGTTGTTTTGAAAGTGGGCCAAAGTGTCTCCCGTTATTAACACAACAAGGAACCCAGCACAATGAATTATTCCTTCGCTTGTCCATGTTATCTGAATCAAGAAAATGGCAATGCGAGTTACACTAGAAGCTTTGGAGGCTCGGGTACGTGAATACTTGAAGACAGGAGCAGTCCTCGATCACGGAGGGAGAAAGGGAACATTCCACGACCATGTCAGGTACAGTGTAAATTTCTTGAATTAAGCAATAGCTCATGCTATGTATAACGTTTAATGTACATAAGTAGCTAGGACAATAAATATGAAATTACAATTTTTGACTTGCGTGTCGAAATGTTGGCAAGAGATATGGCTTCCTTTACTTAGTCAACTCAAGAACTCGATTGTGATTTGGATCAGGTCACATACGACTAAAAGGTTCATTATCATAATGCAAGAACAATATGAACCACAAATATATCCAGCAATGTCCCGACTCAAGATAACTTCCAAACGTATTTAGAAGTATTCGAATATTATTGCAAGAAATCCAATGATTGGAAGTTCTATTTTAAAGTTTGTTATTGAAAATTGCTCTTGATATTTGTACCACTGAAAACAATACAGTGGGGGATAGTGAGTCATTTTGCATTTATAGGAATTCTCTGACCAGATTTAATTTTGGTGCATGGTTAGAGTGAAGTTTCAAAATTCTTTGTCTAGTTATTAGAGTTACAAGACGGCCTATGACCAAAAAAATCGACAATATTTTTCAGCTAACTTTTAAGACGATATTTATCATGATACTATAATGCTGTTGAGTGGATAAATTGTCAACACAATATTTTTTTAAACTGTTTTTATAAAAGGTTTTCAAGTCAGTATAGGATAGATTACTGATGTATGAGGTAATTTAAGTTAATCATCTGATGTAAACAATTTTACACTTAGTTGGATATATAGAACGTTTAAAAGGATATGTTGGGGATACATTGATGTACATTGCCAACCTAAAATTATATGAACTTGTTAATTTTGCTTCTTTTGATATTAGCATATCTACACCTTGCAAAATGTAATTTTCTAACTAAAATTGATATTTTATACTTATCCTGACTCATGCTTATTGCTTGCTTGTCTCCCTTTCCTTCCGAATGCTAGTGGAACACTTGAACCCCCTTTTGAAGCT